CCTAAAAAACCACATAACACTGGAGAATCCAAGTGCCATATGCTAACTGTTTCCAGTGCCCTTTCATTTTTACACTGAGACAAAACTCTGCAGGGAATTCCTCCCCCATTAGATTTGCAGCCGTGGGGGAAAGCTGAGAAAGCTTGGGCATGGTGTTCTCGCATATTTTTTCCAACTGGATCCCATGGTGTATGACCAGCAGTGACGGATGTTGTTTCATCATGACCTAGGCAACCTTCTCAACATGCCTGAGAAATGGCCCTCTGCTGGGTGTTTGCAGGGCAACTGTTTTGAAGCTTGGTTTATGCCATTCCCATACTGTGGCAGATTCCTCATACCGAAATATGGCTTAGGACCAATCCCAAGATTTGCCCCGAGGGTTTGGAAGCAATTTGATACCAAATATTCTAGAGAAATTTCTCTTTATTTAGCAGAAGTCCAGCAGACTTAGAAATGCTAGTCCTTGCAGTGGTCTGTCTTTAGACCTTCCAGTGAACGTAGGAATGCTAGTTAGTCACCATAAGTGGCATCCATAAGAAAAAGACACAAGTTATATTGTTACAGGTTTGTATGAATGCCTGTTGGATCCATTAATGACCAGACCTTAATCACTGCTATTTTTGAAGTGCCTGTGCTAGGCTCTAGTGGGTGAAAGATATTTGGAGCTGCTCTGTCCTGTTTCTCGCAGGGAGGGTGTGCAGAGGATAGTGGTGGCCAAAAGATTTGCTCTCAGTGTGCAAAGTGAGGATGCTCCGCAGGGTTGGAGTATACTGAAGCAGGTGACTGGCAAGAAACTATTTTTCTTCCATTTTTAATCAATCAGTTTTATGTTTTAGAGTAATTCATTTACTAACTGAATGCATATTGTGAGGCCACTCCCCTAATAGAGCATGCTAGAACTCTGAAATACTTTCTTTTCAGATATGCTATTTAGTAAGTATTTCTGCCAGAAAAATAAGCGTTGCAGATACTGTTATTCTAAGAGGAGCCAAAACAGCATCTTTCTCTAGTTGTTGCCTGGCTCATCTGAACTTGTGCCCAAGAAGAAAAATAAAATCTGGTGTCTTCTGTGCGGCTGGTAAGGATCACACGGTGGTCCTTTGCAGTTGTTTCCATATAAGGTTGATTTTGCTGTTCTCTCACTTCCCTCTTCTAAGGAGCAATCTTCTAGAAGATATGTAATTAGTCTTATTTGCTGTAAATGAGCTGTGAAGCTCAGATCGAATTCCCGCCCCCGTGAGGTGAGGAGGCTCCATGGCATCCTAGAGTAGAGTTGGGAAGGAAGAAAAAAAAAAAGAGGAAAAGGAGAGAATTTCAGGCTGTTTTAAAGGTAGTTTAAATCTACAACCCAGCGTTAGAACTTGATTGTACTCTCAAATTGCAGCGAGAAATGCCTTGTGTAGAGAGCTCTGCAAAAGTTTTCCCCTTTTAGCTGACTGCCAGTTGCTGTTGCTGTCCTGAAGGACGTTCTGAGCAGAAAGGTTTAAAGCTAATGCCTGTGGTTTTCACATACTACGTTTGAGCTTTCAAGTTAAGGTGAGCTTCTTAGGAAGGAGTTCTATGCTTGCAGAGCGCGTAGCCTTCACAGTCACAAACCTACATCATCGGCAGTTGTGGTGCAAGCGAGAACATACCCTTTGTTAACGTAGGGACTTCTTGGGTTAACGAGAGAGAGAAGTCAAAGGCTCTGCAGAAATAATGATTAAATTGCCATGCTATGCAGCGCATAGCGTGTTAGTCTTCTCTCGTGCATCTAAAATGACATTCAGATTACTTAAACTGACTGCAACTTAGTGAATCTAATCCCTGGGGTAGATGACTAAATTCAAATGCCAATGTTTTAATAAACTTAATGGGGAAAAAATCTATAAATCAGTTCTGTGTTTATTTTGTTTTTGTTTTTCTTACCCTGGAATTGGCTACATTTGGAGACCTTGAAATGAGGCCAATCTGAGTCAGAATGCTTATGCCAGCATTACTGGAAGTGTTTCACCTTGCTCCATGGGGTTGGGATATAGGTTACTTGTCATCCCTGCCCACTAATGCTTGTGAACTATTTAGAAGAAGGAACTGTCTTGCCACAGAGATGTGTTAGCTGATGTTGGTGCACGTTCTATCTTTCAGGTTTCTCTGTGACAGTCAGAAGGATTTGGATGAGCTGCTGGATTGCCTGCACCCACAAGGAGTAAGAGAGAGCCAGCTAAAGGAGCGCTTGGAGAAAAGGTGAGTCTGCTCGGGGGGTTTTTTGGGGTGGTTTTCCCCCCCCGCCCCCTCCTCTCTGTGTGCCTTCTCAAACTCAAAGCGTATCCTCGTCACAGCAAGCCTTTCCATTCCTGGGGCAGCATTCTGCGCTTTGCTTTGATCGTGCCTGTGCTGAAGAGGGGAGGATATTGAGGATGAGGAATTGCTGTTTTTCTTGGGCAGTAACTGCAGGTTCTTGATAAGTGACGCTCTAAACCGTGGAAAGGTTCTGTCTCAGTCTGTAAATTGCTCCTTGCAACTGGAAACAAAAGGCAGTGCTCTTCCACTCGGAGCCAGAACCACCACGTGCTTTCAAGCGTCTTCCAAAGAGCGTTCTGCACTGGTGGAGCGCGTAGATCACGATGGATACTCTTGCTGCCCCAGTGCCCACGCAGCTCACAGCCTGGGTTTGATTTTCCAGGTATCAAGACATCACCCATTCTATTCATTTGGCTCGGAAACAGAACTTGGGCCTCAAATCCTGTGATGGCAACCAGGAACTGCTGAACTACCTCCGAAGTGATCTAATTGAGGTGGCAACTCGGCTGCAAAAAGGAGGCCTGGGATATGTTGATGTGACACCAGAATACGAAGCAAGAGTGAGTGAACGGGCAAAGTAGTACTGAGCAAGACAAGCGCGAGCTGAGGCTTTCTGCAGAAAGTCTTGAGTCTCTTGTTCTCCTCGGACAAGAGGATCAGAAAAATCACTTTTCTCACGTGTCCTCTCTTTCTAAACTATTATTTCAAGATTACACGGCTGCTGGCTTGAGGTCATTTTGGTGTAGGTGGGTCATACATAATGTTGGAGCTGGGTGTCCTGCTGTTAAATTGCCCAGTTTCCTTCATCTGGTGGCAAACTTCTTTATGGACCGTTAGCAGAACTCTTTGTAGCTGGTTTTTAGCTTCTGCATCAACGTCAGCATGTCTGGTTGAGACAGCAGTTTTCCATTTTGGAGGGTTTTTTTCATAAATTCGGAACACTCCAGGCTCGGGGTAATGATTGTGACCCAGTTCCAGGACCTAAAGGATGTTCTGTTCATGGATACATCAGCACAAGGAAGTTACTGTGCAGTGAAGTATGAATTTTTAGTGCTGTGGCTAATTCAGCCTAACTCACACAGGCAATATGGGTGCCCTGAGTGTCTTTAGGAGGGGATAAATTCCCTGGTGTGGGTAGAGTACGTGCTCGTGTGACTCGTGCGTGCTCCTCCTACCAAAGGGTGGCGTCTGGCTTTGGAATGGTTAAAGCTCTGGTTGAGCTGTATCCTGAGTCACTGCAGAGACTTCCCTGTGTAGATGAGACCGTAAGCGTTCAGAGGAGTCGCTAAAGGAGCGGACGAAGGGCTTAGTGCTTGGTCATCGTGATTTGGGGGTTTGGGGTTGTTTTGGTGGGTTGGTTGGTTTGTTTTTTCAAGGCATGGTGCTCTTTTTCTGAACAGTGCTCTGCATGATCATCAGCTGCGTATGAACTGTAGCAGAAGCAGCAGCAATATGCTGATTCCATAACCAAGCACGGTAGATAACACTACTGCCCTAAGTACCACGTGGATCCGGTTGCAGGACAGGCCCGCCTAAACCAGCACAGAGTAGTGTCCGACTGTTGCGTGATCGTGCGCTCTTCCTCACAGGTATACTCACTAGAGAGCTTGAAGGATTTTGGAGAGTGTGTGATTGCGCTTCAAGCTGGTGTTGTTAAGAAGTTTCTGCAAGGTTTCATGGCCCCCAAGCAGAAGAGAAGGAAACATCAAGGAGAGGACTACATTGCCAAGGCTGAGGAGATAGATGAAGACAAGAAAATGGCAGAAGAAGCTAAGGTATCGTTCATTTCAGGGCTCTGTTTTGGTCTTGTCACTTAACTCTTTGAGCAGGGACAATACATTTCATCAGGTGCTAATTCCTGAGCAGCTTCTCCCCGTTCCAAGTTTGGAGTGCTGTGGGTTTGTCATTTATGGGGCCAGGTATTCCCTGTTTGTTTTGAAGAGTAAAAGTATTGGCAAAATGAAAATCACGCGGAGGAATTACAGGAAATGGGTGACGTCAAATATTTTACTTCCTTTGTGCAATTCCTCACACAGGTTTTAATAAAAGCGTATTATGGAGCGTTTTTACAGAACTTGACAGGAGTTGTATCCATCAGAGAGGGCTGATGGTGGCTTAGTGCCTTTGATCCGTAAAGAGAGGGAGAGCCATGTTGAAGTTTGGATGACTGCAAGGGAGTTGGCTTCAGGTAAATACCAGTATTCTAGCAGAACAGACAGAAGTTGTCGTACACGTGGAGACACCCACAGAAGATGCCGAACTGTGGGTTGCACACCGCTTGTCTGGACATCTGGGCAGACAAGCCGTACGTGCCCGCAGTAGAAAAGTGGTACATAAATACAGAGCTTTCCAAATCAGAGCTCAGGAGGGGTGGAGAAGAGCTGCGATGGATTTGGTAGGTCCTGCAGGCGGGTCATCTGTAGCAGTGTTTCGTTGTAAGGTGGATACTAATGCTCAGGGATAGTTTCTGTGCACTAAGTCGAATGGGACGTTAGTGCCCCGTGACAAGCCTTTCCCCCCTGTCCCCTTCAAAGCGCTCTGCCCTGATTGATCCCTGACTTCAGCAGAAGTAGCAAGATCAGAATTGGATTGACAGAAGCATTTGAAATTCCCAGCTTTAATATTAGGTGCTTGACTGGTGCTGGGGTTTGGGGTTTGGTTGTTTTTTAATTTTATTTTTATAAAGCTCGCAGCAGTGTGTGCTGAACCCTCGTTTGAATGTCAAGTCTTTGCTATGCTGTGGCCTTGCCATGTTTGCAGGATACTTGGATAGGCGCTAGAAATTTTCACATTCCTCGGTTGTCCTGAAGTATTTAAACTTTGCTAACTTTGAATCTTTCAGTCTTGAGGGCAAAGGGAATGGAAGGCTACCTTAGCCTAAAAGCTATCCGCAGAATACAGAGCTGTAAAAATCAGTTCTGTCTGAGGCAGACAGAAAGGGCCTGGATCATCCCATTGCCTGTATCTGCAGCAACACCGTATCAGGCCTTGCTCTCAACGTCTCTTACAGTTGGAACCGTGAGGGTTGTACCTGTAGGGCGTCCTTTAGGGGTAACATCAGATTTACTGCCATATCTAAATGGATAGTAACTTGGCAGTGTGAGCTCCAAATTTGAGTCCTGGTCACTTCCCTGCTGTTGCTAAAGCTGCGTCAGATTTCAAACCCAAGCTTTTGTGTTCCTGAAAATGGAGTCATTTTGATCCTGAATGTTTGTTTAGTTTCTCCATTCTACCTTAGAGCCTTGCTCTCTTGCTTAATGGCGTGGTTATGGAGCATTATTCACTACAGCAAGGCCAGACTTCTGTAGCATGCTTTGTTCTAGCAATTGCAGAACTTTCAGCTACAGCTGCCTAGTTACACAACGTGCTCTGTGTGCCTGAAACGTCCCAATTTGTACTTTCACCTCTGTAAAGCAGCTGGAACAGTAGGATCTATGAATATTGCTGGACTTGTAATCATAAGTTACTTTGAAATTCTTTTTTTTTCTAGTGTTACCCAATTTGTCTAATGTGACTGCATGCTTAGCTATACAGCCCAGCCTTTTATAGGTGTGTGGGCACAGGTTTAAGTATTGCCAGTCTGAGCGTGTGGTCATGCAGGTCTCCCTCCGGAGCACTGCCTTTGGTCTTGCGCTGATGTCTCTGTGTGCAGCGCTTGCTTTGTCTGACTCAGAGTTTTCTAGACATTTGTGGTGGTGCAAGTCATGTTCAACTTTTTTGTTGGGTTTTTGGATTTGCTTGCTGGTTGGTTGGGTTTTGTTTGGGGGTTTTTTGCCTCAGTTCATCTGGAATGAGCATGCTTTTTGGCAAAGGAGAAAACCTTTATATAGATGACCTTGAAAGAGCAGCCCAGATACAGTTATCCAGTGAAAAAAACCTGACTTAGTCTTTTAAAGACAAATCTGCTGCGTAGGCCAAGAATTACGAAGTCTTTTAGAGCCGGAACTGCAGTGAGAGTACATAGCAGGTAAAATACAGCATAGCCATACTGGAAAAACACAATGTACTTACAGACTATATGAGCAAAATTGCAGTCCTGCGGTATGGTTATGTGTCATTTTCCCTGTGAGAAACGAGTTATGGCTTAATAGGCACCCGTTTGCTGACATAATTGTCTATACTGAGGGTATCTGCTGGCTCAGCTGCATAGCTAGAGATCATACTGCTGAGCAGAAAAGGATTGCAGGGTAGACCTGGCTTGTGGCTGTTCCTGAAAATCAGTCTTGTGCCTCTGTGTTTATGCAAACGTCCCCATTTCCAGCGGCAGCAGCACTCTGGACTATCCCAGACTAGGACAGGGAATATGTGACCTCTTTGCAGTGTGACGTTGCAGCAGAACTGCTTGAGCCTAGTGAAGTGCATGGGTAGGTTATCCACCCCCGCTGCTTGCTGTCAGCGGTATTTGAGAGGCAGAAGTGTAGGGGGGTGTCAGTCTTTACCTGCAGACAGTACTCCAAAGAGCAGCTTCACAACCAAGCAATTACTGTTTCAGTTGTTCAGAGGGATTTCTGTCATCTTAGGGTACCAGACAGCAGCCTTTCTACCTGGAGGTTTGTCCACCGTTACCAAAGCAGGCGTTTTCTGACACTCTGTAGCTGAAATGTGACTGAGGACTTCTGTAGTGGTTTTATGGGGTTTTGGTTTTTTTTATTTTCCCTCCTAGATTGCTCATCTCCAGTCAGGAGGGTATTTAAGTCACTTCTTTCAACCTCCCGTTTTGCCTAGTTGGCGGTCTGAACTCCCTTGATAATGGTACTGCTAGAGTGCCATAGTCTCATGATGCTTGGGAAGCAAGGCTAAAAATCTGTTAAATTCCACAGGCTTGGGGAGAAAAAAATCTAAGCAAAACTTGCCAACAGCTTTTGCAGATTTATCTTGGCCCAGCAGTTACCCAGTACGTTAACAGCAAAACCCATGGAACAGTTACTTGGAAAATCAATTACACAGTATGTGAAGCACCTCAACAATGTTCTGCAAAGAAATAGCACAGTGCTGTGTAATCTGCCACAGTAGGCCGTGCAGGTTTCCGTTGGTCTTGAATGTCTTGGGCTCCAGGTTCCACACCAGCGATGGCAGCAAGGATGTTGGCATTTTAGAGCAGTTTGTGTGTTTTTCCAAGCATCTAATATATGCTGTGCTTCCTCAAATTCAGTCGGAGGAGAATGTGCAACTCTGCAAAAATCCTGGTTTTGTTTGGCTCCCGAATTGCTGTCAGCTGCAGAGTTTAGATTTTCCCATCCGACACTTCACTGTTTGTTTTTTCATTCTCCTGGGGTAGAAGGACATCAACTTAAGTCCTATTATGTCCCTGTCATGTCTAGGCCATCACCTCATTGTTGCAAAGCAAGGGATTAACGTTGGGAGTCGAACATGCGGTGGCTCCGGATTACTTCTCTGTTCTGGGGCATTTCCGATTTACCAGAACGTTGTTTCTAAACCTCCAGAGCTGAGCTGGAGATTTCGCCTGTGGCTGGCGATGTGGGGACTCCAGCAGCTGCCTTGGTGCGAATCTCAGGTTTATCACTCGCGGCTAATTCTGGGATTTCACAGGCGCTGAGGTCATCTTGTTTCAGGAAGGTGGCTGGTTTCAGATTTGAGGCTCCAGATGCTTTGCCTGTGAAATCCGGTGGTGGCTGATGTCACGGGTCCCCTTTGCCAGCTGAGCCGCTCGGAGGACCAGGAGGACCAAGCGAGCGGCGGG